CGCCCAGCCACCGCCAGTGGTGCTCCTGATCCCGAGCTCCCCGCTGGCACCCAGACGGCTGGGCCTCGGGCCCAATCCAGCACACGGCTCTTCCCCTTCTCTTAGCAGCACAATCCCAGGCAGGAGCACCTCCAACCCCCCCCTCGTTTTCCCCCAGAAAAGCAACTGGAGAGGCCAGAAAGGAAGAGCGGTCTTGGCTTTCTCGCCATCATGGCGTTTGCAGCCCAGAGGCGCACCTGTACCAGAGGCTCTCAGTGTCTCCAGGCATGCTGAAGCGGGACCGGTAGTTGGAGAAATTGCTGAAAGAGGGAAGGAGGGAGAAGGCTGAGGGGCGGGCAGGTGCAGAAGCAGTTCCTCTGCCCTTTCCTTTCATTTTGCAGAACTCACTAAGCCATCAAGCAAACCCTTGCTGTCAAGGCTATAATCCGCCCCCCTTGGAGAGGGAGTGCCACCCTGGGAGGTGCAGCAAGGCTAGCAGGACCAGCACTGGCAGCATGCCCAGGAGCAGCCCGTGGGCAGACTGGAAGAGCTGGACAGGCTCTCAAGCCCGGCTCAGCCCCACTCACTACTTCTCCTCGTGGTTTCCCGGGCAAGTCATATACGGTACGAAGGCAGCCACCGCCTCGATTTTCCGCATGAAGCTGTCTCCAACGAGGGCATTATCCTGCAGGGGCAGAACAGGCACCCGGTTGTATCAGGCCAATGCCCTGATGCAAAGTTCTCCCGCACTTGCCTGGGCCTGGCACGCCCAAGCGACCCTTGAAACAGCCTCGCTGGATTCAGGCCTTACGACCGAGTGTCCCAGCCATGCCGCTTCATTGGGGAGCTCCCGGGAGTCTTACCGAGTCCAGGTCGTAGGCAAAATCTCCTGTTGGGAGGAGCAGGATCACCATTAAAGAGTGGGTCAAAGGAAGGGCTCCGGGGAAGAGCTGGGCAACTCAGCCAGGGGCAGGGGCCCTATCAGCGTACCTATGTGAAGCACAGCGTCGTACCAGCCCCTCTGGGTCTCCCAGCGCAACCGGGGCAAGGACTGGGGATTCTCCAGGCCCAAGTCTCCAAAAAGGGCAAAGCGGGGGCTCCAGTCGCTACCGTTCAGCAACGCCCGGAAGCCATAGGGCCTGCTCCAGCCCCACTTGCTCCCACAGCGATAGGCTGCAAGGAGAGAGAAGGAAGGCAGAGTGAGGCCTTCGAGGCGAGGGCCAGAGTGGGCCGCCCACCCTTTCCACTTGCTGGTGTTTATGTGGTCCAAAGCAGACTGCCCTCCTCAGACCCTTTCTCCCAACAGGTGCCTCCAGCTCTTGGGCTCCCAGCCAGCACGATGGGCCCTCTGGCATTTCAGGACCCGCAGAAACCCTGGGCAGTTCTCTGCAAGGGACCTCTGGAAGGGGGTCTGCAGGCCACCTAGCCCAGCTCCTTCCCACTTAGAGGCTTTGGGACTCTACCTCCTGAAGTGCCAGCCAGAGTTGCTCATCTCAAGGATGGCCTTAACATGTTTCTCCAGCAAGCTTTGAGGGGGACGTTCGGGAGCTTATTCCCCCGCCTCCCAAGAACTTCGCAACCATTTTATGAAGTGGGGCAGGTTGAAAACTAGAGCAGCCAGGCAACTTAATGCCGAACAGGGACTTCAGGGTTTGGTGGCAGCCTGCCCCTTCTCCGCCCTCAAGAGAGAGCGTTGTGGCTTCCAGAACGTCTCACTCCAGCGTCAGATCCCCGTGGCTTGTCCTCGTGGCTGCATATGTGGCCACAGGCAGAACACGGCGTGCCTTTTGCAATGCCCTCAAAGGACCAAAGCCCTTACTGTAGCGCTGTCCCGGAATGAGGCCACGGAGGGTGACTCGATGGATGAACAGGGTGCGGCCCAGGCTGCCACCATCCACAAACCGGGTAGCGTTTCCGCTGGCCCTGTGAGGAAAGGCCTTCCCTGGAGCCTGGCCAAAGACTACGACAGATTCAGCTTGGTCAAAGGTAGTCCAGGTGACCACCATGGAGGTGGGGTCTCCTGCAGCA